CCAATCCTGCTAGAATTTGTCTTTCTCTACCTCTACAGCACACATACGTACATATGTATATCTATTCTTATGTAAATTCACTATATGTTCTTTGACATTAAAAAGTGTCTTATTTATTCATGTCACCAAAACCTAGATGCTCCATAAATTTTAATTGAATAAATGATTTTTATTCTAAAGAGACTGACCATCTGGTTCTCTTTCTATTGAAGATAAAGCAACAGAATTTACACTTCAATCTTTAGTTGTAAGGAAGAGTAGATGATATACTAGGGTGAGTTATTTATTTTATGAACTCTTCTTTGTAGTTCTTTCTTACCAGGGAGCATTTTTATTTGTAGTTTAGGAATTCTTTTGCTTGGATTTGTGCTGCTAAATAAAACTTATATTTTTGCTGGCTCAAATATAACTTTTTGCTAAATGAAAATGAATTTCACCAGACAAATAATACACATTGAAATAGTCTAAGGAAATATAGTAATAGCCAGAGGACTCAGGGAAACTAAAGGAGAAAGAATATGTTTGATTTTAAGTCTTTTTAAACTTAAAATTTTATTTTAAGTCTAGCACTAATTGCCAATGTTTTACTAGTATGGTGGAATAAGTTGACCTTATAATATTTATATTTCTGTTCTTATTACAGAATAAATTTAGCATAAATCAAAGTTTTTAGCCAAGATCATGAGTTGCATTTTATAGAAAGGTACATTATATGAAATCTAAAATCCCAGTGAAATGGAGGCACAGCAGTATACTAAGCTGTTAATTTTTTCACTTACGTGTGCCAAAGTGATGTTTCAGCCTATTTTAAATAGAAAGGTTGAATGTAATTCAGCAGTGCTCTTGAATACAGGCAAGTCATTGCAAATAGGTGGAAAGCTGTGGTTGGAAGTTCTTGAAGCAGGTTTGTCTGGAATTCACCTTTCCATCTTTCTGCTATGACTGGTAAACACACTTAAATTCACATCTTGCAAATGTGTAGACAAGAGTATACCCATTTTAGGCCTTTAACTATTGAGAGGTCACTTAGTTTAGGTAAAAAACACTTTGCAATATTGTATAAAATAGAAATGAACTGGACTATTTCCCTAAGTAGTCAGTCTCCCTTTACTGAAAATGAGCAAGCATATTTGTGCCTGTTATTTATATTGATTGATTGCAGAACAGGGCCTCGTAGAGTATATACTCAACAAAATTTTTCTTGTATGAATCAATAAAGCATAAAATGGAAGCACAAAATGGATGGTGTTTCAATTAACTTTTGCTGTGTAATGAAACCATTGCACAAAGTAGTCATTTATAACAATGATTCATTATTTTTCATGACTCTATGGATTGGCCAGCACTCTGGCATGGGCTCATATTTCTGGGACAACACTCCATGGTTGGGACAGCTAGGTGTCTCTCTCCATGTGTCTCTTGTCTTCAGGATGAATAGCCAGAGCTTTTTCACAGGACCTCAGCATGCCAGGAGAGTGGAAGCTGCAATGTTTGTGCTGCTTAGGCTGGAACTCACTTAAGGCATTCTATTCCTCCAAAAAGTTACAAGGCCAGATGGAAGAGGTGGGGAAATTGACCCCAGCTCTTGAAGGGAATTGTTGCAAAGTGTTTATGGCTATTTTGAAAATTTAGCACAGCTGACCAACTTTTAAAAGCCTTTTGTTAGAGAAATCTTGTAAAGGGAGGAAGGTTGGTCAAGCTGAACTCCCAAAGTCCTTAGACCTCCAAGAGTCTATGATTCTACCAAGCTGAATCTTTTAGTGATTTCAGAGAGAACAGTTATGAATTGGTATTATCTGGATACCTTAATCTTCTCTCTGATATAGTATTTTCAAACAGAATTCACTGAACAATTATTTTCAAGCCATTATTAATATCTAGAATTTGTATTCTTCCTTTAACCATTTTAAGAGTGATATTTATTATATCTATTATAGTGATGTTTAATTAAATCTATTTTTAGTTCTAGTATAGCAATAGCAGCAACATTCTCCTTTTTTATGCTTTCTTGATCATTGTACGAACACTAGGTAAACTTGTCTTAGTCATCCAACATATACTTAATTTGTAAGAATTCTGAGATTAATGATATAACTTCTTACTTTGTTCATCAGAAGAGAACGTTCATATTATTTCCTCAGTATTTACTGCTACTTACTATTAAAGGTGCAAACCTACCACTTTTCTATAATCATTCTTTTAGGAAACTTTTGTTAATATATTACTTTGAGACTATTTTGGAAGTAACAGGTACAGAGACACACAAATGCAAAAATATCATATAAGCAACTTATAATATATGAAGATCCAGTAAAACTTTCCATTACAGAATTTCAGAACAATCATAATGGGGAAAAACAGTATAGGGAAGCCTGACTGCTGATAAATTGTGACTTAATAGAAAAAGTTCATACCATAAAATTTTGTTACTATATTTTTTTGTGTATGTATGTAATTAATTGTAAACCAGACACATTTTGGTAACTTGTAACAAATATTTGACAAAGACTTGAAATATGACTATTTGAGACATCATTATAGGATTGTTTTAAAATTTTTGTCATTAACCTCCTGCCTCTAAATTCTACACCAACACTCTGCTAATCATAACCACTCCACAAAGAAAACCAAGCAAACTCAAAGCAATGTACAACCCTTTTGTAGAAAGCCAAATGAATTCTGTGGAATTCATGTTGATAGCTTTTGAATAGATTGTTGATAATTAGTCTGATATGGTAACACTGCTAGGAAATCTTGCTCTACTCTTCTGTTTTAAAAATTAATAAATTGGGCCAGGTACTACTGGCTCACATCTATAATCCTATCTAGCTACTGAGATCAGGAGGATTGAGGTTCGAGACCAGCCTGGGCTGCTGAGACTCCATCTCCAAAATAATTAGAGCAAAATGAACTGGAGGTGTGGCTCAAGTGGTAGAGCACCTGCTTTGCAAGTATGAAGACCTGAGTTTAAACCTCAATCCCACCAAAAAAAGAAATCAATAAACTATTTCTTAGCTTGTTACACATTATTGGAACTAGATGTAAATAACACTTTGAGCAAAAACTTTCTCAGTTTTAGGTTTACAGGTAAGATAAACTCAAGAATTCCCATACATCTTCCCTTTATCCCCCAACCAGTTTCCCACCTTGCATTAATGTGGTTATGTCATTATGACTGATAAGCCAATATTGATAATTACTTCTTGCAATGCTGAGGATTAAACCCAGGGCCTTGTACATGCTAGACAAGTGCTTTGCCACTAAATTATAACCCTAGCGTCAATACTGATAATTATTAAAGCCCTTAGTTTGAATGAGGGTTCACTTTGTTGGATAGTTCTGTGGGTTCTGTCAAATGCATGTTATATATCCATCATTATAGTATAATACAGGATAGTTTTGCTGCCCCCAAACTCCTGTGCTCCACCTATTCATTCCTCCCACCAACCCCTGCCTTTCTTTTTTTAATACCCAAATTAAGCCTAGAGTAACATTAATTAGTTGGAGCTAAGAATTTGCTTAAATAACCAGTGATTCCCCATGGCAATCACAGTTTCTTAATCATTAATGTAGAGTAGAACTGTCCAATGGAAATATATGAATTATGCATGAATTTAAATTTTTCTAGAAGCTGCTCTAAAAAGAAGATACAAGTGAAGCTAATTAAATAATGTATTGTAGCTATCCAATGTAGCCAAAATATCGATTTCAACATATAACCAATGTGAAGATTGTTATTTTTACTTGTTTTGGTATGAATTCTGGAAGTTATACTTAGAGCACATCTCATTTGGGGAATTTTGAGTACTCAGTAGCCACAAACAGCCAGTCACTAGGGATTTGACAGCACAGGTGTAGATTGAGGGAGCTGAATGAAGGTATCCTCCTTTCTCCAGGACTTCGATGAAGGCACGCAGCCAGTGTTTTTGAAAGGTATATCAGAAAGATAAAAGAGCTCTCCAAACTTCTGGATGCTGACTCTTCTATGCTCTGCAACCATTAAAATAAATAAATAAATAAACCTCTCCAGCTTTGGAAAAAGTGCATTGGGGAGCACGCTTGTTCCTGTATTATCAAACCAGTGAGCACTGGGCTTCCTGACTTCCAGAAAGCCTGAATCATCTGAAACGTTGACTCATGAGCCAGCCTCAGGTGATTGAAATGCAATGTGAACCAATTTTGCCTTCCAAGGTCTATTTCCACTTTCCTCTCTCCTCTCCTCCCTCTTTTCGGGTGACTCATTCTCCTACCACGTTGGAGTCCAGCAGCAGGCAGGGCCCCAAACCCTTTTTTGAAGAACAGACTTCCAAGTGGTCGGTCCCGGATCCTCATATAACCTAGCATAGCTGTTTTGCCTACCTTGTTCCAGGGTCTGCAATTTACTGGGAGTGGTCCTAAAACCGTCAAAAAAGTGGGGTTTTTTTCTCTCTTTTCTCTTTTAGGGTGGTGATGGTTGTGATGTAGCTTGGGAATTCAAGTCTGAAAAAACAGCTTTCATTTCAACATTTAAAAAAAAATCCTTAGGGCCTATTTCACAATCCTGTTACTACTTGTAGTTTTTCTCCTTTCCGGGGAGGAAAGTTTCCACCCCAGGTCCCCAGGAAAACGCCCTTCCGGTGGCTCGCCAGGAACCTCTCCAAGTCCTTGCGCAGGCAGCCCGCCCCTCTTCCCATTACCCAAACCGCCGGCCCACCTCCAGCTACAGGCGAGGCTAAGACCCACCCCACCCCGCGTCCACTCAAGATGGGCGTGGAGACCCCAGCTCCAAGCCCCGCCCACCGAGCCCCACCAGCCGGTAAGAGAGAGGAAGTGCAGAAGGCCATGCCCACTTTCATTTCTTTCCCTTGCTGTTGGGCAGGCTGGTTGCCCATCTTCTCTATCCCGTAGCCGATTGGCTCTTTCCCTCCCGCGCCAGTCCCTGCCCTCCCCTGCCGGGAGTGTGAGTCATGCCAAATTGGGCGGAGCGTCTGCTGGCTTCTCTTCGTTCTTCTGGGCGGCGGCAGCGGCGGCGCAACTGGGGACGGGGCGGGTGGCGCATCACGGGCGCGGAGGCAGGAGGAGCAGTCTCATTGTTCCGGGAGCTGTCGCCACTGCAGGTTCCTTAGCTCGGTCGGCCCGGCCCCTCTCCGTGCTCCCCAACCCCCCGCACAACCGCCCGCGGCTCTGAGCAGCAGCGGCCCTGCGGCGGCAGCAGCTGCAGCATCATCTCCGGCCCGCCAGCCATGGAAGACCTGGACCAGTCGCCTCTGGTCTCCTCGTCCGCGGACAGCCCGCCCCGGCCTCAGCCCGCCTTCCAGTACCAGTTCGTGAGGGAGCCCCAGGACGAGGAGGAAGAGGAGGACGAGGAGGAAGAGGAGGACGAGGACGAAGACCTGGAGGAGCTGGAGGTGCTGGAGAGGAAGCCGGCCGCCGGGCTGACTGCGGCTCCGGTGCCCCCCACCCCCGCTGCACCCCTGCTGGACTTGGGAGCTGACTCGGTGCCCCCGGCACCCCGAGGGCCCCTGCCGGCCGCGCCCCCCGCCGCCCCGGAGCGGCAGTCGTCCTGGGATCGGAGCCCCGCGCCATCGACGGCGCCCGCGCCATCTCTCCCGTCCGCTGCCGCAGTGCTGCCCTCCAAGCTCCCCGAGGACGACGAGCCCCCGGCGCGGCCTCCCCCGCCGCCGCCCGCCGGCGTGAGCCCTCAGGCCGAGCCCGTGTGGACCCCGCCGGCGCCCGCGCCCGCCGCGCCCCCCTCCACCCCGGCCGCGCCCAAGCGCAGGGGCTCCTCGGGCTCCGTGGGTGAGTGCCGCGCCCGCGCCCCTCCCGCTTTTGTGTGCACCCCGAGGGGCTTTGTCCGTCGACGTCTGGGCGCTGGCGCCCCCCCTGGTGGGAGGCGGGCCGGGAGAAGGGTGGGGCGGCCGCTTGCTTCATTGTCTGTCTTGGTTTCGGGGAACACGTGCACCCCCGTCCGCTGCCTCGTTCTCCCCTCGGGTCCCCATGCCACTGTGCCCTGGAAGTTAGACTCCAACTAGCCCTAGTAGGAGCTGGGTGTGTATGGAGGAGCTAAGTCCGCGCATGCATGCATCGGGCTGGCTGGGCTTCGAGGTGAGGATGGGAAGGCCCTGGCGTCCGCATCCCTTTCGCATTGGGCTTTTGTCCCTTGGACTGTCGATCTTGGGGAAGGGGAGGGTCTGTCTGCTTTGCAGGCAGTCCTGGTCTCGCTCCCCGCCGGGCGTTGGGTTCTCCTGCACTTCTCCCCTCCTCCCCCTGCGCTGGTGGGAAGCTGGCCGAGTGGAAAACGTCCACTTGACCCAGCTGCAGTGGGAGAGAGCGCCTCCAGCGGTACGGTTCCGGGAGGAGTGGGCTGGGGAGACTTGAAGCCATCCCGCCACCGCCCAGCTCACTCCGGCCTTAATGTGACGACTCCACGACCAGCCCATTCCAGCCAGGGGAACGGCCTGGCAGTTCTGTGCCCAGAGGGCCCAGTTCTGCAGGGCCTCAACTGTAGGGTGAGAGGTTGGCGCAGCCTCTTAATGCAGCGCTGACGAATCTTACAGAAATGGCAAAATGGTAGACCTTCTTTAAGAAGGGAAAGCCTGTGGATTCCTTGCCAGGAATTGACTGAGTGAACTTGTGGCACATTTACCTTGAGTCCTAATGAAATGTTTTGAGACAGACCTTTTTTTGTTTTTAAAAGAAGTATACGTTTTAGATTGACAAAATATGTCAATTTGACAAAAAATGATTCTCAATCTTATTCGCAAATACTTGATTATGTAGTATCTTTATGTTTTTATTTTTAGAAATATTGTTTTATTGCTCATTTTATCTTGGGAAATGATTTGGAAGGGAAAAATCAAGTTTGATAGAAATTGAGAATGCATCTTCCTAAGGTGCCTATTGCTCAGCTTATTGCTTTGGGACCTAAAGTGTCCCACTAGCAGTAGAACCTTTGTTTATTTATAAAGGTCAGGAATCAATTGATGTAGTTGTTTGCTGATAAGTTTTTATAGTCTTGTAGGATTTTGGAGGTGGTTCATTTGCCAGGGGAAAAAATACAAGTCCTAGGTCATACAGTCTTTTTTCTTTACCTTTTCCACAGTGGGGAAAATAAACCAATTGTGATGCTTTTGAATTAACATTTAATACTGACAAACTCTTAAGGCACTGCTCAAAACACTAATTACACTAAAGATGTTAGAAGATGAAAAGTAATTCAAGCTTTTTTGTTTGTGTGAAAAAGACACATTTGAGGGAAAGTAAGGTAGAAAAATATAATTAGAATTTTTTAAACTGGAAATGTAATGATTGACAAAAGCATACTAACATGTCATCTTCTATTTCTTCATGAGAACAAAGAGTTTTGTTCTTTGAACATTGGAAATTCAGGAGGTGACAGTATTTTCTTGAAATCTTGACTGTTGTAATATTAAGTTTAAAAGATGAAGGAAAGAGAATATCCCTTACTCAGGGATTCTGTATAAGTCTGTATTGATGATACTATTTTGGAACTTCAGTTCCTTTAATAAATACAAGAATAGTGATGGTGGGCATGGATTGTAAACCATTTCAGTACATCTAGATTTTTAATGTACTGAACAGTTTGTTCTTTAATCGATCACATTATTGATTACCTAAGACACCTTACCTTACTAAGACACAGGCACAACTCTAGGGTTTGATGGCTTGGCAATAGGCAAGACACATGTGTTCCCCAAGGGTGGAGGGGATAAACATAATAAGCACATAAATAAGGAACTTGGAGTAGTGGTAAGTGTTACGAGGAAAATAAGCAGCGTGGTGGCAAGGAGAATAATTGAGAAATGTGGGACCTTTTTTAGGTTGGGTGATGCCAATAAAGGCCTCTCTGAGAACTTGAGGTTTGAGCTGCAGAGATCAAAAATTTCCAAGTAACTAAGAGGGCAAAAGGCTTGAAGTAAGAGTGAGATTTTTGGTTATCTAGTAAAACTGATAAGAAAAATTTGTGGGAGAGTGGTGGGATACACTCAGATAATTTGGGGTCTCTTGTAGGACACACTAAAAAGTTTGGTTTTAAAAAATACTTAGTTTAGAATTATACTGTGGTTTTAGAGAGAAAACAGAATTTTGAAGATTGAGAGGGACTGAGAGGAATGATGTGAGGACAAAGGAGGTGAGAAATGTGCAGAGCATGGTTAGAAACAGACTAACCCTACCTGGAAGAGGGCTTGTAGATTCCCAACATTTGTGTATTTAATACTGCCATTTGCATTAGATCTAGTTAACTCTGATTTTCCTCAGTTGGTAAATTATAATTTTGCTGTTTGCCGTGGTGCCTGGAGCATTTCCATTGCGGTGCAGTAACTAAAGATGGGACCAGGGCATCTCATTCGATGACCATTTTTCATGGAGAAACATGGCTTCCATTTGAAAAGATGGTTAGCTCAGTCTTTGAGGAGATGGAAGGGAACTTCTGGGTAAAAATTGATTTGATCATCAGTAAAGATGATTTTGAGCTGGTCTCTGTACATGTTCTGAATCAGTGTTAAGACCGAAGATATGTGGTAAATCTGGATTCTGAAGGATATTGAAGGCCAAATTAAGGAATTTCAACTATATCATCCTGCTTTTATTCATACTATGCCATCCACAGTGCTCTTAGTTTTGGTAACATACTGTGAAACAAAAAATGTTTTAAGTTTTAGTTTCTAAAATATAAAGTTATTTCATTGTTTTTGATTCCTCTTCTAAATTCCTGCCTGAGACATTGGGAAGTCACTGAAGATTATTGCGTTGAGGCAAGGCATCATGAAAACACTATATTCAGAATAGGTTGAAAAAAAGGTGAACTATTTAGAAAACTTTTGCAGTACTGAGAGAGGTGAGTAGGTCCTGAACTTAATTCATTGCTAGTTTATTCCGTGAAAATGGAACAGATGGGAGGAATATAAGAGACTAAACATACTTTTTATGTTTAATTGACTGTGAGTCTCAACCTTTATAGTTATAAAGAAGCCTCATGAAAGAAGACTTGATAGGACTTGGAGGCTATGGATGTAAATACAAGAAAAGAATATTAGTGATTATTAAATCAATATTAGAGATTGTTCAAAATTATTAATTACCATGGAAATGTATATAGGATTAAGTATTACTCATATGTGTAGAATATAGCTAATATGACTAATAAAGTACATTGTATATCACAGAGCCATTTGTTACATGATTATTTAATGTGACATAGCCCCTGGAAATTTAAAAGATTTTGAGTGATTATCTATCATCTATCTATACAGTTAAATCTTAATTATCAGTTCTAAATATAAAGTCCAAGTAAACAGTGATTACAGTCCAGGAAGTAGATACCTCTACAGAAAAGGTGGCCAGGCCCTGTCAATTCCCCACATACTCCTTATTTTTATTTAGAAAAGGATGATAAAGAATAGAAGTGATGAATGTAGAGATTCTGAATAACTTATTATGCCATTGCTAATTTTCTGACTAGTTAAAAAAATTGAGAACAACCGGTATGCTTCTTACGTAAGGTGAATTATGTTTCACATTGGTTCCTAGGAAGCTCAGTCTCAAATTTATGGTCTTTTATAGTAATTTGAAAACTACTGTTTTAAGGTTGTGGTAATGAACATAGGTGAACCTTTGATAAGTGGAATTGTGTTTATAAACCATGATATTTTAGTGCTGTGCCATTTAAACATAAAAGATTTGCTATGCTATATGTATCTAAAACTTTTCTAAAAAAGAGCATATTATCCATTTTAGTAGGCACTCTGTTTTATGTGTAGTTTCATAACATACCTAAAAGCAATTCATTTGAAATACAATTTATTCAAGGCCCCCTGCCAAAATGGTACTTTTTTTGTTTTGTTTTCAGTTCTAGGGATAGAACCCAGAGCCTTACACATACTAACCAAGTGCTCTACCACTGAGTTACACCCCCAGCCCTTGGTTTTTTGAACAAGGGTCTTGTTTTTTATGTAGTTCAGGCTGGCCTTGAATGTGCTCTGTAGCCCAGGCCAACCTCAAACTCGATCCTCCTGCAGGCATTTACCACCACACCCAGCTAAATATACTTTTTTTTTTGATGATGATACTGAAATTTGAACTTGGGGCTTTGCACTTGCTAGGCAGGTGCTATACCACTTGAGCCATGACTCCAACCCTTTCTGTTGTTTTTTGAAAATAGGGTCTCGCGTTTTGCCCAGGCTGTCCTGAACTGCAGTCCTCCTGTTTTATGTGGCTGTCAGTAGTCTGGGATGACAGGTGTGTGCTACTACATTCAGCCTTTTTTTTTTTTTGAGATAGAGTCTAGGAAACTTTTTTGCTTGGTTTGGCCTTAAACCATGATCCTTCTGATCTCAGCCTCACAAGTAGCTAGGATTACAGGCATGAAACCATGGTGCCCTGCTAAATGTACATTTTGAAGGTACTTTGCTAGTCCAGGATGAAAGTACCTACCAGCTGAACAGATTTTTCTTTTCCTTTATTTCCTGCCTTCTTCCCTTCTTTCCTCCCACTAGTGATTTAACCCAGGGCCTCACACATGAAACTTTTTAACCATGGAGTTACACTCCTGGTCCCTGGATGATATTTCTTGGTTCTTCTCTGGAACTTCTGATTAAACGGAAGTAAATGTTGCAGAGACACTATACTTACAGTACATTCTTACAGACTTTTTGTTCCTTTTTCTAAATAAGAGTTTGGAAGTTTCCTGGTGGAGGACCTTGGATGGCAGAAATGTAATGGCTGAACTGTAGTTGATCAGTATTGTTTAAAAGGCTGAATGTGACTTGTGGCTAGCT